CTTGTACGAAGACATAAGTTCTCTTGAAAATGAACTCAAAATACTTTCGGAAATGATGTCACGTTTCAGTAAAAAATCAACCGAAGAAGAATCGAAGAACAATGAAGATAAAAGCACTTCGAAAGATATATCGGAAATTCTTTTGAAATCTGACGATAACAATGAAATTCATAAAATAACAACTGTAAAACAGAATAAAATGGAAGATATAGAATTAGAACAAAAGGAGACTGATCCTGATATTTCACAGTACTTGACCAGTGGTTCAACATTAAAATCAGTTAGTCATTTTAATGACAGCAAAAGTATAGTAGGAGAAGTTGACTAATGTCATGTCTGTATATAACTCCACAAGACGATACGTCTCTTCAATCAAATCAAGAAATGATTATGAAAGCAAGGAGTTCAAGAGATTTTAAATTGAGATTGAAAATCGATAATGTTAGAGCATATTAAGCCCTGAGAATCAGTCAATCGTTCAATATCTTATTGAGAACAACAAAACAAGTACACACGCAAGAAAATTGTGAACAAATGTAAATGCATTTTCTACGAGATTGTAGGAAATCTTTATCTGAAATTATTCGGCAAACGACACAGGCTAAGAAGCTCATATAGCAGGAATGCATCCGCGCGTTAACATTACTCTCAGAGACATCATTATTGAAGAAAGTTGAGTGGCTCGCATAACTTAGAATGTCATCAATTTTAGAATCACATAAAAAACTCTTCAACTTCAGAAAAGAGCAATTTACTGGAAGGGAGTAAGTCATTAAATTTATAGAGATATCGATCATAGCTTCAATATAAATAATGCCATTAGTGTGCAAAGTCACGCAAGCATAAGAGTGACGATAATTTCTCAAAAACTTCACAGCCCATGTCACAATCAGACGACAGTCGTAGAACCTCACAACGTTGAATTACGAGGAGTATCAAGCGAACAAATTTGACCACAATCTTCGAGTTCGACTGAAAAACTGATGAATTAAAGAAGTAATAGATTATATGAAAGATAGATGTCACCTAAATAGAATTAGCAATCACATCAGAAGGAAGTACTTCTTTATGCACGATGACGATACAGTATGTAAAGAAACTTCTTAAAATCTGTCCAAACTCTAAGCAGGATACATCGGATTAGATCACCACTGCCAATTGTATGGGAAGAAAGTAATAAGATGAAGTCAGTTGAGAGAAATTTTCTGTGGATAAACTGCGTTTGATAAAGATGATTGGACTATATCTAATTCGTTTAGCATTCAGCAGGATGTTACCAATTCTGAATTAGAAACATCACAAAATCAGAATTTGAAATTATCTAATGACGATTCAAACAAATTTTTAGGTACAGAGAATATATCTCAGTCAATTGATAACCCTAAAAATCAAGATCTTGAAGAGAATTTAAGTAGTGATATAGACAATGTGTCTTTGTTTCTTCCAAAATGTGAATCTACAAATATTGATATATATGGTATTAAATTTGACGAAACAGTACCAGATTATAATATTGAAATGACCAATGATAAAATTAATTATATATTGAGTATAATGACTGCAGACAACAACAAAGAGCAAAATCAAGAAGAAACTGTGCACACTATAGAAACTGATGATTTTCAAAAGACCATTATGATTCTGTAACTAAAATATTGGATAAAGTTGAAAAAAGTATTGATAATAACTCAATAAAGAAAAAATAGAAAGTCATTCGGAAATTAGAGAAAATAAAAATGAAATTAAGACAATAGTAAATAAGGAGTGTAAATCAATTTTAGATAGTTTTTACTTAAAAGACAATGTAAAGACAAAGAGTGAAACAGAACTTGATGGAAATCGAGAACCATTTCTTTGGATACTAATAATGATAGGAATATTAATGAAGACATTATGACTACTAAAGTTCATACTGAACCTGTTGTAAATGTTAGCTTACATGTTGAAATTGAAAATGACGATGACACGATACATCAGATTGAAACTAAATCACAGGAAGTTGTAATAACAGAATTGGAACCTGGAAGTATAGAAGATGACATTTTGTCTGAAGTTGAAATTGACGCTAAAGTAGAATTTGCAGAAGAGGAACCTGAAGAAACGATTACATTCGAAGACAGTACGGAAACAGACGTACAAATTGTACAAGAAGAACTATTATTAGGACCCATAGTAGAACAAGATAGCTCAGATGGTGAACAACTTGATAATTTATAGAAGTAGCTGAAAGTGGATGGATACTATAGAGAAACAGATTTCCATCACTGAATCAGAATTAATCGTACATGATAAGACAGATACTCAAACTATTGGTATTTCAAACAGTAAAATTAGACTCAGAAGAGTGCAAACACTTGTGAATCTGAAGATAATCTCGAAACAGTAGGAAATTCTGAAGTAATTATATTTAGTGCACCTACCGATGTGATAAATAAAACATTTAACATTTTGAAAGATCCAGATTATGAAGATATCTCGGAAGAAAGTCTTGAAGTGTCTGAAATTTTTGATAAAAGTGAAGTTCAAAGACTATTTCTGTACAAAGACATCATCTATACCAGAAAGATATGAAGCAGTACAAAAATCAGAGGAGGTATTGAGAATACTGGATGAAATTACACAGAAATCTTCAACAAGTTCTGATCATGACAGAGAGCAATTTCAAAGTAATAAACAAATTTCTGAGTACAGTGAACAACCATCAGAAGAGATTTCGAACAAGATGATATTATACTTTCAAGAGTTGATGGTAAGTCTATGGAAAATATTCACAAGAAAAATGAGCAATCATTGGAAAATAATTTAGAAAGTCAAACGTCTAAGACAATAGCAACAGAAGAGGAAATCGATCTATGGAATTAATTGTTTGCTTAAATGATACAGAAGACAAAGAAAAGTTGGAGCAAGAGATATTGTCTGAGTCGAGCGAAGACAGGGATACGCCGAAAAGTGTGTCGGAAATTGAGATGGATTCGCCCAGAGATTCTAATGATTCAAAATTAGACATTGATGCGTTAAATGATGACATATTGAATAACACTAACGCGGAAAGTCAAAATATTGATTCAAAGAATACATATCATGCTACGCCTATTGTTGCTACATCTGAGAAAGATATAGAAGTCATGATAGACAAATTAAAAGGTACATTTTTTATTCCTGTACAATATCAACTTTTACTTAACTATAAAATTAAGGGTAAACAATACGCAGTTTTGATACAGTTAAATTTGAATTTTATTAAGATACATTTTTAAATATCTATTTCATTTTATGAATATTCTTTTAATTTTTTAAACTCTTTGTGTTTAATGTGTACACATAAATTTAGAAACAATTAGGTCATTCAATTTTAAATAATGCTGTTGAATAGATATTTAAAAGCATAAATCTTATTAAATGCAACTGATTAAATTTCACTTAATTTTATTCTACATTAGTTATGTAGTGTTGAGTATTGATGACTACACTATATGTACATATATATTACATACATTACAGAGACACGTTCTGATTTTTATAATGGCTGTATATTCTTGTGCAAAGCATTGCCTCGTATAGCCATGTATTGTTTATTTTCAGAATAGCAAAGTCGAGATAATAATTACTTAAAGGTAATACAACACGAAACTTTGAATGAAATGAACATTGACTTTTATATGTGGTAAAAATCAATGTCGCATGAGTGCTTGATTTTTAATTAGTAATTTCTGTATGCATAAGGAAAGCCTGTAAATATTGTGCAACACAACACAAACGTAAAATATTTTATCTTTTGTTTACTTTAAATATTTTTGGAAAGGAATTATCATCATCTACAAATTTTACTTGGAATGTCCAACTTCATCACAGCTTTATAATATTTTATTAATGCATTGAAAAAATTTTGTTATCTATATTTGGACTTTTTATTTTAATTCTCGAAGCACCTAATCAAAGTAATATGCGAATTTATAGTGTAATGTAAAGATTCGTGTTGCTTTTCCTGGACTAATTATTTGTAAAGTCTCTTCTGCAGATCCATATTATTTCACATTTTTCTTTACACAGCATCGTTGGAACAACCTGGTTTGGAAGTCGCAGAATTGGAAGCGAAACTGCTTCGTATTGAACAACTTCAAATCGAACTAGAGGTAATAATGAATTTTTAATTATTTCTTCTAATGTAAAAGTTGCTTTATAATATGCACATTATTCCTTAATAGATTAAAAAATTGGAAGCAGAAGAAGTATCTTATTATGTTAGAGAAATACCTAATAAACCCCCACCCCCCTACACACCACCCGGCGGTGGTGGACGAATTTCAGTGTCACTTGGGTCACCATCACCTCCACCAGCTGTGATTCCCTCAAACATAGAAGAATTAACAGCATTCACGGAGAAAGCCACGACACTCATATTCAGAGCTAGGGAGGCTGGAGAAGATATCATGAATTTAGAAGCTCCTCCTGAGATCTGCGAGTTAACCAAAGAGAACGATGAGAGTGTAAAGAAGGATAGAAGAATTTACAATACATTCCTCTTCGATCTGTGTAAAGAAACGATCGCTGAGGTTTATCAAGCCGAGTATGAAAAACCAGGACCAAGTTGGACGAAACCAAATGTAAAAACAAAACCTACGATGAAACTCCCGAAAACTGTAGAAGAACTTAACGAATATGTTAACAAGGAGGTAGCTACGTTGTTCGGTTTCAAAACGAAACTACAACGGGAAAATATGGTAATGCGTTGGAGTAGAAAACGAAGAGACAGAGTTGACGAATTACTGGCTAGGGAGGCTCAAGCTGAAGAGGACGAATGGACCAAATTTCATCACGATGAACTTGCTGTAAAAAATGGTCTTACTGTAGCTATATTGGATACCCTACTAATGGAAACTGTGAATGTAGTTAAAGTGGCATATGCGAAGAAAAGAAAAGTAATGGTTTAGTTTTATTACAAAGCTATCGTGATTGAGTTACCGTTACATGAATTTCGTCAAAACACAATTATTTGTCATGAAAAACGATAGGTATTAGGACCTTGATAATTGTAGAGAAGGGGGTTTAAACATTCCTAGAAGTATTGAAATTCGTACCTATACTTTTATTTCTTTTGGATCTGTTTTTGTCTCAAACGAAAGACAGTACTTGTTGCTAAGTGGTCACACCTTTTGTTTACTAATACAATATAGCAACGAAGTTCGCATAGAAGTATCAAGGTTCTACTATATATTATTTCGAAATTTTGTAAATTGGCCTCAATTGCCATATTTTTAATGAATTACCAAGTAATTCATTTTTATCTATTTGTGCCCTGTATATGACCCCTGTATATAGGCTGGTTCCTATTTATTCTTTTGACAATTGTTTGCTTTTAAAGGATGAAGGTATGAATGATAATTTCACTGTAATAAAATTCAAGAGGTGTACGAGGTCCATTTTGCAAATTATAGAATCGTAGAAAATAGTTGTATTTAGTAGTCACGAATTGTGTAGAGAATTTAATAATCAAATACCCTAAATTCGTTTCGAATTTTTGTTAAAACTAAGATTATTGTTAGAATATATGGTATAATTACATTACAATTTATAGTTATATATATTGAGATGTAGTAACATACTTAATATAAGAATCCCATTGATATTTACTTGTAGAAGAAATGTAATTATCGATTCGATTATTCCGAGCGTTTTGTTCGAGTAGTTTATTAAGTATTATTATTTACACAGCGTATTGCTCAGATATTTGGTTAAACTTTATCAGCATATTCTGTTCATTGTGCCAATGAAAAAATGTCATACAAATAGTATATAATAGTGCTTTCAATAATTTTCTTCAAATTAAAGTTACATATATTATTGTTGCCTTTTAAAGATGCACTTTAAAGATTACTGACATTTTCTATTAAAAGATTTTAAAACAGTACTATCACTTTTACGGTTATTTAGTATCTGTGATTGTTTACATTTCGCTGTATTATCCGAATAATGACAAATAATGAAATTTATTAATGTCACATTATTATTATTGTTGTTGTATGCACATCTTCACCAGTGCAATTAATAACAATACTGATCAAACTTAACTAAATATTTTAGGAATACATTGTATAGCATTTAATACGTCCCTTGTGTGATTCTTTTTATGTTCTATTAGATGCGTATAGATTTTAAGTTTATTTTGATAGTAATACTTTTACTGTACATGGTATTAACACCTAAAGCTTAAATAACATTTTAATCGGGAACTACGAGACGTCACTGGAGAAAAGTATTTCATGCATCCGAACAAAGTGCTCCTTCGGTTATTGCGTGTAATAATACTATTTGCGTTGTAGAAGTCGGCTGTGGAACGTGGAGGGATATGTTCTTATCATAATCGGGACAAAGGATTTTAATCGCTTAAAGTTACTTCCCCAATAAGCACGAACTTTATTTCTGCCGTCACGTTCCTGCTTCAACTGTGTGAATATGTATACATCATAGATATCCGGTATCCTTGGACAGCTTCTCTTCTATTCCTTTGAGGTTGGAATGAAATAAAATAAAATGTTAAGATAATTGATCGATGGAACGAGAGGTGGCTTCGAGCAGCCTAAATCCTTTGCCCCGACTATAGGCCGAGTTAAACTTTGTGGAGTTATGCTCAACTATTTCTAATAAAATTAACAAAATTTTGACTAAAAGACTGATACTGTAGGGCCATTTCGATTTAAATTGCAAACATTTTAAAGAGAAACGTAAATTCGTGGTAACCTGTAGTAAAAGTCGGTTACGAATTGGTGTTGAAAAAGCCTCTCAATGTTGATTGTTCGCAACGGAGAGATAGCTTCATGTTTTACATGTTTTAGTACTTCTATTATACAAGGTGTTCGGCCATCCCTGCGGAAAATTTTAATGGGAGATTCTAGGAGCCAAAATAAGACGAAAATCAAGAATACCAATTTGTTGATGGAGGCTTCGTTAAAAAGTTATTAACATTTAAAGTTCTGAGTGAGAACCACTATCGCGCACACGCAGCTGTTCACAGATTGCCGTCTCAAAGGCGGAACTTTAAACGTTAATAACTTTTGAACGAAGCCTTAATCAACAAATTGGAATTCTTGATTTTCGTTTTATTTTGGCCTCTAGAATCTACCATTAAAATTTTTCCCAGAGGTGGCCGAACACCCTGTATAAGAAATGATATACGCATGTATAAGCATTACATTCGAGTCATCAATTGATAAGCGTTAAAACTGTTTCGATCAGCGGATATTTCGATTTGGTTCCGTTGAACGTCAACTTTTAAGTTTGCGGTTGTGATATCAATCTAAAGCCCATGAAATGGTAGGAGTGATGTTGATTATTGTATGAATGTACAGGAACGAGCGAATGATACTTTAGTTTTAAATTTATTTGATTGAGCTTTCACACGACTTTTCCAACCGCTGTGAATGCTCGTCTTTTTAACGTGTGACCTCCAAACTTTTGTGTGATTAAGAAATGTACATACATACGATGTCGCTCAAACTTTAGTGTGCACATGCTTTCTCGTTGCAGAAAGTTTAGCTGATCTATAGTTATCGACCTTAATGATTTAAGTCTTTCGTCCGTTACGAAAAAAGTGCGATTTTGATTTCCATTGTTGTTTGATCCTTTTGTTTGCGATCAGCGCGAAAGGCGGACTGATTGCATTTGTAGTTGTTATAGATAGATATTGTTCACGTACGTAGAATTGAATATGTACTTAACTAAACTATATTTTATAATAAATTTTTTGAAAAACTTATAAAGATTTACTTTAGAAAAGATAATTGAATAATATGGAATCTCTAATTTATAACGTGTCTTATAATATACAGTGAGTCACAGCTATTATAAAATCGTACACCACATACGAAAATATGTTTCATTCGAAAAAAGAAGTTTAGGAATGATTTGGAAAAAAATTAGGCAGAGTGAGCTCACTACTTGCTAGCTAGCTGGCCCACTTTTTGCTAGCTAGCTAGCTCAATTTTTTCTTTTTTTTTGTACGTGGGGAAATCCTCATGGACACCCCGAGGCCCCAAGGCTCGGGTTAGTGCCGGACTCTTACCGGTTAAAACCCCACGGTGATCGTACTCCGGCGTTGCGGCGGGGGACCGGGAACTTTAATGAGATATCACAGAGTGTCCCGCCTTGCCTTGCCTGTCGAGGCTCATTCCGGGGGGAAGGACTACATATCCCTCCCCCCTGATTTCTCCGCCGCGAACGCCAGGTTACCCGACTCCCGTGGCCCCGGGGCCGCCTTCGTTGCTAGGGCCACTCGCACCAAGCACCTGCAGCTCCCAGGGGCAGCCCGCCAATCCCCCAGCCACCGACGTGGTAGCCGGGGGTGGGTGCTGATGGGCCGCCCAACTCTGTAGGTCCATCCGGACCTCAAAGTCGCTGAAGGAGGCCAGGAGGCGACCCCTCTCCGCCGCCCGAAAGGTGGCGGAATCCGGGAGGGTATTGGTGGGGTGGGTTTCGGCGCGAGTGGAGATACTCGCGCCGCGCCCACTCCAGTGTCACCGCTGCCTCGAGCTGGGGCACGTGAGGCAGTGGTGCACCTCGCCGGTGGACCGCAGCGGTCAGTGTTACCGCTGCGGGGCGAATGACCACCGCGCGAGCCAGTGTTCGGCGGCCCCCCACTGCCCGCTATGTGCGGACATGGGGAGGCCAGCCGATCACAGGGTGGGGAGCAAAAAGTGCTCTCCCCCCTCCCGGAAGGGGAAGAAGAAGGGGCCCGCCCCGGTTCAGGCACCGCGGTCGCTGGCAGCGTCCACAATGCAGGTGGACGGTGCCACGGGGACGGACAGCCGGGAGGAGGCTGGGACGGCCGTTAAATAACGGCGCCCCGCCTCCTCCTCCAGGCCAATCTCAACCACTGCCGCGCGGCACAGGACATGATGTCCCAAGTCCTCGCGGAGTGGGGGGTTGGCCTGGCGGTCGCCGCCGAGCCGTACCGCGTGCCGGATCACCCACATTGGGTGGGCGACGCGGACGGTTTGGTGGCGACGGTATGGGGAGGTGGCGACGGGTCCCCGCCGTTCTCCATTCTGGAGCGCGGTCGGGGTTTCGTCGCCGTGGACTGGGGGGGAGTCGCCGTAGTGGGGTGCTACATCTCGCCCCGCAGCGGTCACGCCGCGTTCGAGCTGTACTTGGCCGAGGTCGCGGCATGCGTGCAGCGCTGCGCGGCCCGGCCGGTGCTAGTCCTGGGGGACTTTAACGCCAAGTCGGTGGCTTGGGGATCCCCTAGGACCACCGTTCGCGGCGGGATCCTGGGCGACTGGGCGGCGGGGCTCGACCTTCGGTTACTGAACCGGGGGTCGGAGCACACGTGCGTGCGGCGATATGGGGGGTCTATCGTGGATGTTGGATTCGCGACCCCCAACGCCGTGCGCATGGTGTCGGGTTGGCAGGTGGCCCCGGAGGCAGAGACACTCTCCGATCACCGGTATATCCGGATGGAGGTCTCTGCCGCCGGGGCTGCGTCCCGGCACCGCCGCCCGGATGGCACCCCACCGCGCCGCTGGGCGCTTCGGCGCCTGGACAAGGACGCCCTGATGGCAGCTGCCCTCGCTGCAACTTGGCCGCAGGTGGCGGCCGAGTTGCCAAGCATGGAGGAGGAGGCTGCCCGGCTCGGGGTACTAGTCGCAAACATTTGCGACGCGTCGATGCCCCGGGTCGGGCGAGCTTCTCCTCGCCGGGCGGTGTACTGGTGGTCGGCCGCGATCGCGGAATTGCGGGTCGCGAGTGTCCGCGCCCGACGCCAGTACGCCCGCGCGCGCCGTCGTCTACGACCGGACGATGGCGTGGCGCGAGCGAGGGCAGATGACCTGTATGAGGCATACCGGATGGCGCGGGTTGCTCTGCAGGTCGCCATCAAACGGGCCAAGACCCGGGCATGGAAGGATCTCCTCCAGACCCTCGATGACGATCCTTGGGGGCGCCCGTACAGGGTGGTGCTGAAGAAGCTCCGCCCGTGGGCGCCCCCCGTCACCGAGGGTCTTGACCCCCGGCTGCTGGAGGACGTGGTCAATACTCTTTTCCCAATTCGGGTGAGGGGACCACGTCCTCCGGCGGAGGCGGCAGTCCCAAGGGAGTGGGCGGCCGAACTGGGGGTCACTCAGGGGGAGCTGGCCGCGGCCATCAGACGGCTCGGGGCGCGTAACACGGCCCCGGGTCCGGATGGTGTGCCCGGCCGGGTTTGGGTCTTGACCCAGGGCGTCCTTGGGGCCGACCTCAGGCGGTTGTTCGACCGATGCCTGAGGGACGGGCGATTCCCCCCCCAGTTGGAAGGTGGCGAGGATGGTCCTCCTCC